TGTGTGTGTGTGTGTGTATATATATAGAAAGTAGACATCTTCCCGATCCCGAAAACATAAATTTCATAAAATCTGACTTCGTATGAATTCTATATGATTTTTATAATGTGTGTATATGAAAGTCAGTCGCGCACAATAATGTATGACGTAAAAAACTACGAAGAGAATGGTTGACTTTTAGCTAAAACCACCAATAAAATCGTAGTACTTTTTAAAATAAGAATTTTGAGAATAAGAATGCCAAAAACGGAGTCTGTATGAGAAAGTTATGATTTTAGCAAAATCATTTAATTTTATAAAAATATTAACGAAAAATAAAGTCAAAATTAGCCGACGGATTGTAAACGAAAGTTGTAGATCTCGTCGATAGCTACGTGTCGATATAAAGAACGACAAAAATGGAACTCATATGAACGAGTTATAATTTATAATAGCATATTTACGTATTAAAATAAAATATAAATCATATATATGCCTGTGTATTATATATATATATATATATATATATATATATATATATATATAATATATATATATATATATATATATATATATATATATATATAAAGGTATCGACGATGTGGTGGTTATAAGACTAATGTTGAGTACTTGCGATATTAGTTTAGTATAAATATCGTTAAATCTATTTATAATAGTATTATAAATGGGTGTTTAATCATTTAAATAACTATAAGATCTTTTAACATTGGAAATTCAATTACTAAATAAGAGTCTCTAGGCTCTTATATTTTTTGCACCATTCTCTTGATTTAAAAGTCTTCTCTTCTTATCCCCGCACATTTCGGTCCCTTGTGATTCGACTTCTTTCTCTGTAGTTTTAGTACAGTAAGGTAGGCGCTGAAGTGCTACAAGAATCTTTTTAGAAAAAAGATTCAGCGACGAAGTTCTAACCATAGAGATCTAAGTTTTCGCTAGAAACACTGTAAGTTGAGCTACACTTATTATATTTTAAGTGTAACTTATGTTTAAATTCATCTAAGTCGTTATACTGATTGATCTAAGTCGTTATACTGATTGATCTACTTACGGGGATGATGTGTAGACTAGAGTTAATGCGGTGTTTAAAGTGGGATTTCCAAATAGTATACTCTATATACCAAACGCACCCTACCTCCGATATGCTACCTGATTGTCTCTTATCAGTTATAGATCAGTAGACTTTGAATTAATGATGAATCTAGACTAATAATTAGTCCCAATAAATATTAGACTAAGACTTAGTGATAATGATACTAGGTTACATTAAAGGAAAAGACAATTGTTAGAAGCGAAGAGTTGCCCGAATTTCAAGTCGTCACTTTAACAAGTGAGTGCATAATCTCTTTCATGAACATGATTTTAATACAAACAATAAAAGTATTAAATATATGTTGAAAGTTTATATGTGAGTTATATGGTTATTATCTGAAAATATGTGTTATATGTATATCTGATGATATACGCTATGCGAATCGGACATGGTTCTATATGTATTAAGATGTATTTGCATGATAATAATAATAGAATTATTATAAATGAGAAGATAAATATATGTTAATACCTAATACTATATATAAAATATCACACTAAATTAAGATAAAATTACACTTAAAAGAGATGCTTAGTTCAACTGAGTTTGGATATTGGGTAGCATCTTATTAAGGGTATGTGTGTGATCGGAATAGAGTGTAGAAACTCTGTTCGAGGAGATTGATGATCGATAGAGTATGTCCTACATAAAAAAGTATTTTCTATGTACCAAGTCTTTTTCAAAGCTCAATATCTCAGGTGCTGCTTGTGTCGGGGTATTATTATGTTCTAGGGTACGAGTCCTACTCATACAAGGGTACTATAATGTGCCAGAAGTATTATCATGTACAAAGTCTTTTTTGACACTATTATGTGTCGGAGAACGGGAGCATACGAGAGAACTTTATTAGTATTTCCCCATACTTTTTCTTTTGACGAGCTTTGTGTGTCAGCTTTTCCTTTCATGAAGTTATTGAGGGAACTTCGTAGACAGCCAAATAGAGTGTGTCAGTAATAGACCAATATTAGGTATGTTTGATGTTATATTGTCGGATAAGGTGAGTCTGGGATACAATACCTCACGGTGTCAGACCACTGCTAGGCGTAGTTATATAGATAACGACCCCTGACTTAATTGTCTTGTGGTTTTTACGAACGAAGGTTCGTGGTGAAAATTATTCCATTCCCCTCATTTGATGTATTTATTGATCATTGTTTGCTGCCAAGGAATTTCCAAAGCAGCGTCGTCATTTTGTTTTTCATATTGATCCTTTAGGCTAGATCTTGTAAGATCGTCGTATAGGATGAGTACATAGGAATCGACGGAATGAGATAAATTGTTTTAAAGATAATGATATATATGTGTTAATGATAATAGTTGGTTTTGAAAGTTTGAGATATATTATTAAAGTATTTCTTAAGAAATGTATTTTATTTATATTAAAACATTGAGATGTCATCATCAATATATAAACATAAGTATAATGCAATATTACAAGCATATTATTATGTTTTTGGAAACAAATTCCACAATATTATTTTTTAAAAATGATACTCTGATTTTTAAATAAACATAAATAATTCGGTTTTTTCTGGCCACAAAATTGTTGATGTCACACTTTAGTTTTTAGTTTTATTTATGCTTCTACTTTTATTTTTAATCTTTGAATTTTTAGTTTGTTTATGTTATTCGATTCGTTATTAGTTAATATATCATTTAAATTAGCTTTAATGTGAAACGTTACGAACAATATATAGAAATATTGGATACCTAATTATATTCATATATTTTAGTTCCTCTTAATACGTATTACATAACAAAACTTGACATTTTCGTTACTATGTTTATTCTCTCTTACATTTTAGATTTTGAACTTATTAATGTAAATATAATTCTTTATATTTTAAAATTTGAAAAATAGACAAACTAAACAAGTTTTCAAAATTCTCATTTTTTGGAAATTTTTTCTGAAAAAAAACATACTTCGATGACTAAACACAATCTAAATGTTTCTATATCTAACGTTTCATTGACCTCAAGAAGTTGGCTCGTATTAACATTTCGATACCATTGCTGTCGTTCATATCAAATGCATCTAGACCTTGAATTTGTTTCCTTCAATTAGAAAGTAGGCTGCTTTAATCTTGTATTCCTCCCCAGCCTTCTATTTATATAATTAAAATAATTGTCTCCATTATATTGTTTTATTTGATTGAGTGTAAAATGATGACACAGGTTTTAATATTCATAAAATTAAAAACATTTGTCTACATTTTATTGTTTTATTAGATTGGGAGTGTAAAATGATGACTAAGGTTTTACTTATATAGAAAAAAGAGGATGGGAAAAAACAAAAATAAGTTTTAAATAATCTAAATATATACGTAAATAAGCTACACAAAAACAAAGCATAATAAAACTGCTGACCATTCATTTTTTTTAATGTTAGATTTGTTCTTAAACATAGTTCTATATGCCCAATTACATTCCAATAAAATCTTGAAAACTAAATAACATTGAACGCACGATCCTAAGAAGTAAAACATTCCAATAAAATCTTGAAAGCATAAGCACGTACCAGCTTCATTTTGGTGATAATCATAACCGACAATTCCTAGAAAATTAAAACCAAAAACACTCTACGCGGTCTTAAATTTTTGGAACCAATCCCGGAAACGGAAGTTCCTGGAACAAATAACCCGGTTACATTAACTTTATTAATTTTTATAGATAAAACCAAAACTTAATTCAATCTAAATCGAATCATTTCGGACCAAAAAGGGAAAAAACCAAACCAACATTATGGTCTAGGTAACACACACACACACACATATATATATATATATATATATATATATATATATATATATATATATATATATATATATATATATAAACCGGTCTCGTGTGCTTCTGAAAAAATGAAAATTGGAACCGGAACCGTTTAAAACGGTTCCATAACTATAGGAACCAGAACCAAAACCAAAACCGGAACCATTTAAGGCAATACTTATTTCAAAACCAGACGATTCCATAACTATAGGAACCAGAACTAGAACCGGAACCACTTAAGGCAATACTTGTTTCAGAAGACAGTTCCAAGGCAGTTCCAAGGCCAAGAGCAGTTACCTGCTTCCAATCCCTTTAAACTATATGTGGCTACTGAGTTATTCCACTTAAGAAATGATATGGTGAAACAAGTAAAATAATATAGGTAACAACAAAAATTCAGAAAAACATGCATAACTGCATCAACCAAAATTAACAAAAATCGGAAAAGTTGGATGTCTTAGATAAAAAGCAATAAAACCTAATGAAGTTTCCGAACAAAACTTCAACCCTAGCAGCATTACATAATCAAAAAGCTACCATCAGAGACTAGACAATATACAGCTCCATCATAAAGCTCAATACCAACTCCACGGCTGCAGAAGGTGATGAATGAATGAAAGAAGCTATCCTACTGTCTACTTAGATCTCTGTCTCATCTTTCGGCGCTTCCTCTTTAGTCTCCTCATTCGCTTCTTCTTCCACTGCAATAAAAAGATCCTAGAGTCAAATGCTACTCATCCAAATCTACAACTCTACCAACAAATCTATACAGAGATATCAAATTTCCAAAGCCTAAATGCTTGAAAATCAGATGGTTAATACTAGTAAAAAACTTAACAAAAACATCCGGGAGGCGGACGTCAGAAAACCGAATGAATCCATGAAAACGCAGACAACTTTAGAATGATTAATCACAAAACAACTACTATGTTGATACGAAGCTTCAGATTCCTAGGGTTTTAGATTGTTTAAACGAACGATCGAAAGCAAAAGCAAAACAATTCGAGTAACGATAAGGAAGAGTTTTACCTTGGCACGCATGGTTGAAGCTTTCTAGGGTTTTCGCTCTCTTTCTTGGGTTCCGATCGGCCGATAGACAGTGTCGAATCAATCTGGAGGAAGAAAGGCAAGGCGTGTTGGCTTTTATTTATAGTTAGGGTTTGGGTTTGACCATAGCAGTTGGGCTTTAGATATATTTAAATGGGCTTAAGCCCACTTTTCTCATCAAGACGTAATTTTCCGATGCCAACTTCATACCACGGCCTTGAAATCTTGATTCCTACCACCCAAAAAAATGTCCGACGAAGGGCGGCAGTACGATTCCGGCGAAGAACATACCCGTGATGTCGTTAAGGGTAAGCCGTATGATAAGAACATAGCTTCTGATACCGCCAATCAGCTTCCGGAGGAGGCGACCACCTCTGCCACCGACGGCGTTGACAGTAAAAATGATAACATCGCTTCCACGTCTTCTTCATTAGCCAAGGGCTTATCTTACACCATATCTACTATAATTAGGGATTTCGATAGTCAAGCCCAACAGACTTCTCGAAGTCAAGATCAGCTATCTTCCTCCATCGATCGTCTCACCCGCGGTAAAGTGCCTATTACGTCTCTTCAAAAGCAATTAGGGATTTCGATAACCGGGGTTTGATTCATGATTTGATTCATTTGATGTTCAATTTTCCTGCTAAATTTCACCTCACATAGATCTTTACTCACTAAATCAATTAGGTGCTTTTTCAGCTAAGTAATGGCTAAAATGCGTATTGTAGTGGGTTGTTGATTGAACAGGTAAGACGTTGAAGCGATAAATAGAAATATACTATCTTTCTCATACCCACCCACAACAAGCATAAAGCTTGGGGAAAGGGGTAAACAATTTGTTTCAAAATCAGAGTCGCCATTAATGCAATAACCTCAAATTCTGGCAACTACATCCATCTTTAATACTTGCAAATTTGATTACGTTGCGACTGATTTTTATTATGCAGAATTGGATCAACTTCTAGCAGATGCACCATCGCCTTTCATCATGCAGCATGCTGCAAAAATATCTGGTGTTAGAAAACGAGTATCATCTCTAAATTTAGTTTTGAAGTCCATACAAAGGCGTGTTGACAATATTGATCGATTGCTCTCATCTGGTTTGCCTAAAGGTATCTATCTAAAATCAACAGCTCACTGTTTATTTCATAGATTTTTTTTCCATTTCAATCGGTTTATATTCTTGATTCTTGGCAGATGAAATAGCTAGTGGAAGTGGAAGTGGAAGTCCTGCAGAACATTGATGGAATTCCGTTTGTTTGAAAGTGAAAGATGTAGAGGTAGTAATTAGTAACACTGATATTTCTATAAGGGCTAAAAGAAATATCAATGTACTTCCATTTATTTGTGTATTATAGCATTCTATTTTCATTTTTTGGTAGACCATTGAAGTTTCGGTTTTTTCTTCTTTCTAAAGGGTTGTACTTAAAAAATTCTTCTATATCATTGTACTTTCATTTTTTTTTTCTTATGTGGACATTAAGCTCTGGAAATTTATCGTTTTTAGTAGTGAGAGTAGTTTTGTATTTAATGGCATTGCTCTGTATGGGTTGATTTTTCCATGTACATGTTGTAATAGAAAGTAGGATACTATCATAGTCGAATCAATGAAGGTAAGTTGTTTTTTCTTGCAATTATTATTATTATTATATTTTAATTAGAGAAATATATAGAAAAACCAGTATATTTTGGTCATTTTTATGGTTTAACCGCTATATTTCAGTTCCTTCAATGAAAGTGCGAAAGTTTGATAACTTTTACTATGTCTAGCAAATGGTCACTATCAAAAAAATATGTCAAAGTTGAGTGGCTTTAGTCAAACTTGTGACACTAAATATTTTGTGTGTTAAAGGATTTGGATTGTAGGTAGTTAAATTACAAATGACAGAATTGTTTTTCATTTATTTTTTGTAAGTTATTGTTTGTTATGTAAATACATTCTTGAAAATAAATTATACATACTTGTGAAAATAAATAAACTACCCTTTTAGTAATTAATTGTTCACAAAGTGAGGCACTATTTGAATTGAAAATGTGGTGTGGTAGGTATTCATGCAACGGGAACATTGATTGTGTTAAAAAGTTGTGTCTGTGTTTGGCTGCAAACTAAGTCGTATACGATAGCATTCATAATTAATGTATTAAAGATATCGATGCCTTGTGTTTCATGATATCACTCTATATGAAAACATTTTGCAATCTCATTGTAACATTATATGATTTTTTACTCCAAATATTTAATTCAGTTTATGTTTTTACTTTGTTCTTCATATGATTTTTAAGGGCCCAGATAAAATGAGCAAGGCATCTCGTTTGAGAGACAAAAAGCCAAAAAACACACTATTGCGACACAGTATATATACTGTTACTCGAATCCTGTTTATATCTTTATATATAAGCATAAAATCCGTTGGTAGATAAATAAATAATTAAATATCATATTCATTAAAATTTTGTTACGTGTTTTATATACTGGAGTAACTGAATCACAGACCACTCACAAATTCAATTGAAGATCTGGTCCAAAGCCTATTTTTGAACGATTTAGAGGCCTTGTTTTATGCGTATAAGTTAAATAGTCAGACTGGGTTTTGATTTTATATCAATTCAGTATTTGAGTTCAACTGTAGCGTATGATGCTAATTTTGACTGGTCTACCTGTACCATTCCCAAGCAAATTACAAGCGAAACGAGCAAATAGTATATGTATTGGAACTCCATAAACCAATCAATCAATGATTTAAATATCAGTTTACAAGAAAGGTGATGTTTTCATAACCAATCGTCTCTTTGAAGTAGTATAAACTTGAGCGATGGGTTTCAAATTTGGATTAGGCAATCAATTATAATGTAGTATAATAAAAAGCAACTCATTATGAATAATAAACTTTTGGGTTCTAGACATTAGTCATAATAGTTTTGCTTTTAGATTTTCTGATATTAAGAGGTTTGTTCTCCGTCTAAAATTTAAATTATAAATGTTAGTCTTGTTAATTTATAGAAAAAAGTTATTGTGTAGTTATTTTACAAAATATTGTTCATGTGTTTAAATAATATACTCTTTGTGTTTGAGACTCCTCCTACAAAACTTTCGTATCTAGGCAGGCCAGTTTTTTTGTAGAAAATTAATTATAAAAATGTCCTGGTAAAAAATATCCTTACCAATTTTTTCTTTGAGAAAAAGTATGAAGAAAACCAAAATTCTTAAAATTTAATTATCTACAAAATGAGTATAGTTATAAAAGTTTGGATTTTTTTTTATTTTTTATAAAAAAACCCAGAAAAAAAATTCTCTAAAAATCATAAAAATTTAATTAATATTAATATACTAGTGACTTTATGAAAAGGATTTTTCAAAAATAAGTTTTCGATGTTTTTATTTTTGAATTTTAAGAAATATTAGATTTTATAAAATATAACGATTTTTTATTCAAAAAAAATTGATAGAGTTTCTTTTAAAACTATTTTAATGAGTTTTTAAAACAAAATTTTACAAAATATATTGCTAAAGATACAAACGTTTTAATTAACTGATATATTATCCAAAATTAGATTTTTCAAAATATTTATAATTCAAAAAAATGTTATTCAACATCTTTATGATCCTTAATTTGTTAAGATCTAAAAATATTTTGATTAAATATTTTGTGATCCTTAATTATATCTTTTATGATTCGAAAATAAATGATTCGAAATATATATCGATCTAAATTTTGTTTCATGACTAAAAATTTATTTGATTGAATATATCATTGATCATAAATCAAGTCCAATCCAGACGGTGGGCAATCCGAACGGTCGCTCAGGGCCCATATCTCAAGGAGCCTAAAATTCCTGTAGTATATAATATATAGAGAGAAAATTTTAACTTATCTAAAAATAATATGAATTTTTTTTATAAATTAGCTTTGTTTGTAATATTGCAGCTATATTTGTGTTTTTTTTAATATTATTAGTGAATTTTATAACGGTTTATTTATTTTCAAATTATTTTTTATTATATTTATGACTTTTGGGACCCATTTTCTCTTATTGGTCTCAACCCACTATATCTTTATCCAAAATAATATTATTCAAAAATGATATTATTCAAAATACTATAATTTAAAATAATTTAATTCAAAATTTTATGATCTAAAAATAGTATGACTCAAAAATAATAGGAATGAAATATATTATAATACCTATTATATTTTTATTTAAAACTTTTATAATTGTTCAATATTAAAACTCGAACCGATATTTGGTTTACAAACATAAAAAAACAAAAATTAAAAATAAAAGTTAAAAAACGACAACTTCAAATATATATATATATATATATATATATATATATATATATATATATATATATATATATGGTTAGGTTCATGTGAGACGGCTTAATTTTGTGAGACCGTGAGACGTATTTTTTATTTTATTTATATTTTTTTAAAAATTTTTTTAGTTAATTCAATTTCCGAAAATAATATTTAAAAAAAGAATTTTTTGATTTTTTCATTTATTTTGCATTTTAAAATTATTTTTAGAATATATGTACAGTATAATATTCTATTTAGAATATTTCACGTATTTTAAAAAAAAATAGGATTTTAAAAAAAAAAAAATTTAGTTAATTCAACTTCCGAACATAATATTTAAAAAAAGAATTTTTAGATTTTTCTATTTATTTTGCATTTTAAAATTATTTTTTAGAATATGTGAGTGTAATATTTTATTTAGAATATTTCACGTATTTTAAAAAAAAAAACGAGATTTTTTTTTTATTTTTTTTATTTTTTTAAAATTTTTTTTAGTTAATTCAAATTCTGAAAATAATATTTAAAATTTTTTTTTTTGGATTTTTCCATTTATTTTGCATTTTAAAATTATTTTTAGATTTGATCTCACGGTCTCACAAAATTAGCATGGTCTCAAATGAACCTGAACATATATATATAGGGTTAGGTTCATTTGAGACCACCTATATTTTGTGAGACCGTGAGATGCATTTTTTTATTTTTTTTTTATTTTTTTATAGTTAATTCATGTTCCGAAAATAATATTTAAAAAAAGAATTTTTTGATTTTTCCATTTATTTTGCATTTTAAAATTATTTTTAGAATATGTACAGTGTAATATTCTATTTAGAATATTTCACGTATGTTTAAAAAAAATAGAATTTTTTATTTATTTTTTTTAGTTAATTCAAGTTCCGAAAATAATATTTAAAAAAGAATTTTTAGATTTTTCCATTTATTTTGCATTTTAAAATTATTTTTTAGAATATATCAGTGTAATATTCTATTTACAATATTTCACGTATTTAAAAAAAAAAACGGAATTTTTTTTTATTTATTTTTATTTTTTTTTATATTTTTTTATATTTTTTTATATTTTTTCTAGTTAATTCAAGTTCCGAAAATAATATTTAACAAAAGAATTTTTGGATTATTCCATTTATTTTGCATTTTAAAATTATTTTAGATTTGGTCTCACGGTCTCACAAAATTAGAATGGTTTCAAATGAACCTGAACCCATATATATATATATATATATATATATATATATATATATATATATATATATATATATATATATATATATATATATATATATATATATATATATATATATATTGAAGTTAAGAATTCAAAATTTGGTAGCAACCGCAATCATTAATCTTAGCTCTTTATTTGGATAGATAAGTGGTTCGGATAAATGTAATATTTTTATTTTTTTTCTTTTAAAATTCGAAATGACATTTTATGTTATTTTTTCTTATATTTTTGAAATTTCCAAAGAAAAATTAAACTTTGGGGTGAAAATTATCAAAGTGAAAAAACTGGAACAAAACTCATGACAGCTCATGTGCATCTCCCTCCCTTGTTTCTCTTTTAATTTTCACCCTTGTTTCTCTTTTAAAAAAATTAGACTTAAAATTAATTTTATTCAAAATGAGTATTATAATGAAATTTTAAAAAATAAAATTATTTTTTTAATTTTTAATATTTATAAAAAATATAAAAAAAAATTATCCAACAATTACAAAAAATTAAGAAATACTTCTACCGACCAGTCTAATGATTTTGTAAAAAAAAAATTCTAAAATAAGGTGTTTTAAATACCAAACTTTATTTTAAAAGATGAAAAGTTTTTAAAAAAAATATTGAACATAATATGATTTAAATATAAATGATTCAAGATAAAATGTATGTCGTACCTGGGGAACCAACTCCCAACAGAGCCCAAGGTGTTGTGACTTCCCTACAACGTGTATGGATCCTGTACTTCAAGTAGTACGGGCCCATACTATCTTTTACACTAACCCGTATTTGTCTCAGAGGATCATCCACAACCCTAATAATACACACTAGCATACACATACACTCTATCCTCACATCCTATATGAAGGCTAAACATTACGCGACTGGTCGGCATACCCTACATGACTCATCCATGAAACTTCCATCAACCCTGTAGCACTCATGT